CTAAGGTCTGACGAAAGCCTCTCAATTGGACAGATACAAGTAATTGTGTTTTCAACTGTTCTATTGTGGAAGCAGCTGCAACCTTGCATTACAGGTATCAACTAGCAATTGCACAATAAACAATTATTAGCCCAATTAGAAAGCTGGCAATGGCTGTGAGACCATGAGCTGCATCTCCAGCCATCTGTCCTGAAGGCGGGTCTGGCATACAATAGCATAATGAAGGAAGTTTGGTACTCTTTATGATAAAGCTGATGTGAAATCACTGTAGGCTATTTCACCCTTCACCCTCAGTATTTCAGGGTCCCTCCCTTGCTTGCTTTTAAATACTGGGCATGGCCAGAGTGACTCACCAAATCACTCCTGGGCGAGGCAGGAACAGGACATCACTGACAGCGCTGCATTTCATCTGCCCATCCAGAAAGTACTAGGCTATGTGGCAATTCAATGGCCCTTCAATGACAAGTGTCTTACAGCTGCAGAAGCACACCGTCAGCATGTATGTGCCCCCATTAATTTTTTAATTGACTGAGAGTCAATGAAAAATAGTGGATATTTAGCTAAAATTGGTAGTAGTGGCAATGTTCCAGGACACAGCTCTTTCTTCTTCAGCTGCACCTCATATCATTAGGCTGGGAACCATGCAAAACTCCATGCACATTGCCAACGATTATTTGCATTAGGAAAATCAAATCATGAAAGAGAAACTCAAATAAGCCTGTAACTGAAAGGGTGTCTACAAATGTTATGAAATCTTACAAATCAGTGCAGAGAATGATAAAAATATTCACTCTAAGCAGGTGTGTGCTCTGCAGAGTAACCATCCACATATTAAAAAAAAATCAGAAGGACACCAGGCTGCAGCATGGAGACCAACGCTTCCACTTTATATGTCCACCACTAAATGCCCCAAAGCTCCATAGTCCAGATCTGGTGGAGGTGACAGATCCCAGCAGCCTGGGCTACCACCCTGCAGCTCCCTCCACAGGCACTCAATGCCTGAACACTGGCTCCTGCAGAGAAGGAAAAAGGGAATAGCTTGCTTTACCAATGCAAAGGGAACAGTGACAATGATGTTGAACTGCTGTGATGCTGTTGGCTTTGAGAACTGTGTAGGAGTCTGAAGGAGGCAAAGCATGTAAGTTAAACATACAGTTCAAGTGAGTCTGTGCAAGAAGTATTCTCTTGTTGAAAGTGAGATGGGAAGGCATGAAAACAAATCGTTAAAAAAGGTGAGGAGAAAGGCTGGGAGAAAAGGGAGAAAAGAGAAGAGATGAGGAAAATCTCATGTCCAGTAAACAATATGTGTCTGCTTTACAGCAAAGTAAAAAGTTTTGTGCAAGAGCCTTGCTATACTGACCCCTGCAGCCCATCCTGCTGAGAAACACTAGAAAAGCTTTTCCTCTGCTAAAAAGCTTTTCTGTGTCACTCATTGTTAAAGAGGTGACTAACAATTCTGCGAGCTCTGAAGACAGAGCTTGAGGTGCTTAGGGCAGTCAAATAAAACAGTTGTTTTAATTACGGTTAGAAACAAATATGGTTTTTAAACTTTTATCTTTGTAAATCAGTTTCCTATGTTTCTTTTGCCACTTCCTTGTTTTCTACAACAGAACAAATGGAATTGCACTGAAGTTTCACACCGTTCTGTGCCTTTCAGAAAGGATTTTGAAAACAAAGTTTCAGCAAATCAGATATTAGTGAAAGTAACTAGAAATAGTTCTGGCTGGATTTTAAACTGCCTGGCAAAAGTTTCAGACAGGTACACACTGTGCTTTTTGGAGCTGACCTGAGAACCCTTCTACAGATATCACTTACACAAACGTTTGCAGAATCTCATTAGATGAGACGATTTATGCATCAGTCCTAGCAAGCACAGAAGCTAACAATTACTGGAAGTTTCACCTAGCAATTAATGAAGGCATTAATCCTATTTTGGAAAACAAACACTTTTTTTTTTTTTTTTTTTTTAAAGTATGTCCCTCAGTAGCCCTGCATAGATGCAGAGTATGTCTCAGAACTTGCTGTAGCTCCCTGGACAAGAACATGACAGGTTTTGGACTTACTGCATTGCTTAGCCCTGCACTGAGCAGTCAGCTTGCATGCCACTGAGACAGGAAGATAGCAGAAAACAGTTGTGACTACTCAGCACTTAACTGTTAAAATAAAGCTTTTTCTGCAAGCACCAATTCATCTGCCAGCAATGTTAGAGGGATCTAAGCAATTTTCCAAGCATACAGCAGAACATTGACAGAGCTTACTTCAAACATCAGCAAGAAGTCTGTAAGTCAGTTTCCAAAATGCAGAGACTATACGCTTGCAGCCCATAGAAATACAGCCCACATTTGTGTAGTAAATCCAGAAAAAGAGCGATTAAACTTTAAGTCAGTAATTCAGCAGTAAACAAAACTGTTGACAAACAGCACTGAAGTCTATATCACAGCCTCTGTTATTTCCTAGCCATATTTAATGTACATGCCTTTACTGAAATATGCAAGAGGCAGTCAAATTTATGTTCGATTCTTTCATGAAAGCCATGATCTGTTTTGTACCTTATCTCACATGCATACTCAACTGAAAATATTTACAGTAAAAGTACTTTCAAGAAACATCCTTTAAAAAGTCCTCTATACAAATGCAAAATAGCTTAATCCCTTCCTGAAAATGAGTTCCAAATCCAAGCATTCCTCTACAGATTTTATCTGAAACAGCAGTTTTCCATTTAGACTTGTATAATTAAAAAAAAATTGCCAAAATGTCATGTAGGCATAACCATTAAACAGTGAAAGTACTCACATCCTGGAGTTAACCAAAGCAAAGCACTGCTCCTTAGTCACTTCATACTTGAATCGCAGCTGCACATGTGGTCAAACTTGCCCCAGAAATTCAAGTAACGTTCAGGTTAGCAGTCCATAACAAGTATTTCTCATTCTCTTCCTGTTGCTGATTGATTCCGCGGGTGCAGAAGACACCACACCAGCAGTTTGTCTTTCCACTCTTAGAGCTCTGTGCAATTAAGGAGCTTGCTTCAATACCTGCAACGCCCATATCAGTTCCTGCTCATCCAAAGGCATTCTCTCCCAGGCACTCAGCAGGATAACGAATCACGCGTACCTGTAGCCCAATACTCTGTCCATTATGAAATGCTAAGGATTTGGAGACACAGGCATACGTAGCTGCATGTTAGAACGCTGGCCTCAAGGGTTTGCAAAGCCAACAAGTCCTGACAGTCTCTGCAAAATGTTCTCCTATTTAGTTCTCAATTAAATACTTGCAATTCATTATAGCGTCTTTCTGCGATTAAGGGAACAAACAGCTCCTATCCTGCATGAAGCACTGTTTGCATAACAGTTCTGAAACTAAAACTTAATCTTGCATTAACACATCCCCTATACAAGTACTTGGCTTTTTTATTCTTAAGTACCTGCTTACTAATCTTTTCTGATAGACCGTTCTATTGAGGTGGGAATGCGTATGGAGTAATAGCAAACCAGTCAGTAAGAGTCCGTGCACAATTTTTCATTCCATTTAAGCAGAGGGAATTGTTCTGCATGACTTAAGTTAAAAACATACTACTGAAAAAAAAGCAAATTATAAGAGGGCTTAGGCAGTAAACAGCTACAGTTATGTCACACAGAAGTCTGCCTTCTCTAAAAACACTACAAAAATTAGCAAAAGACAGTTTCTTTCTTAGAAAATATACTTCTACTTGCATAGGAATGTGGAAGGGGGGGGGGGGGACAGAGAAAATTCACTTTTTCAAGATTTAATACTATTGCTAGATTTAGCTTTAAATAATCTGCAGATAGACGGCTTCAACATTTTCACTTAACTTCCACTAGCCTTTAAAAAAAGACTTATTGTTTTGCATAAATTGCAGATAATGACACTCCATATTTCAAATTTTCTACTTAAGGGACACTTTAATCCCTTCTACTAATTAGAAAAAATCTAGAGTGAGCATATCCAGCACTTAGGATTTGTTTCCATAACAGAGCATACCTGCTAATGAGGTTGGTGCTAAAAACCACCAGATAAGCCAATTCTCAGTACCTGCAAGTCATGATCCACTAACTATCATTAGAATGTGAGTACATGAGCCTCACCAATAAAAAAGCTAAAATTTGTGTAGATGCACATAATAAAAGAGGTATTTAAGGTTCTTCTCCAAGACACTCAGATAGATTCCAGCCACCCAAGCCTGTCTTGATAAATCTGTTTCCCACCATACCTATATCAAGAGGTCTCAGAAGAACACCCACAAGCTCCTGCCATGCACTTGAAGTTTTCCATATAATCCCCCTTGTGGAAGCTTGAGCTTTAGTGGGACAAAGCTATGTTTGTGCAGCAATCAGGAGAGCAGGAAAATATTGACACAACTGCAAGAAGAACACGGCTGCTGTGTTTTTATCAGTCATTCTGCAATCTCTGCCCTTTCCTGACCTACCAGGCATTCCCAGCAACCTTTGAACATGCCAACCATCTATTCCAGAGTATCACACAACCAAAACAACAGCTTCCTGAAATAACAAAAAAATGAAGACCTCCTCTTGATGGTGCTTGCTTAGAATCAATAAAGTAAATTTAAATTAGCCAAACCCACATGGGCAATCAGGAAAGGCTGGATATTCTATGCTGGTTAATCTCTCAAAGCAATTACAGGCATAGGATAACAACCGCACGATTTTCTGTAACAAAGCCCCAGCCCTCTCATAGCGTGTAAGGCTGTGTAAGGCTGTGAAAGTGAACCGTGCTGCGAACCAATAGACCAAGTTACCAACTCCTACCATTTCACATACAGCTTTCACCCTTAATATGTAAAAGATTACTGGGAGGATGGGGACAAAGGATGGGGCAGCCAGATTCTGATCGACCTGGAAAGTAGTTTTCAGTGTTTAGTTTGACTCCAGCCACTTCCCCTTTCTGCTGCTTTCACAATGTAAGAAAAAAGGCAAGCCAGAAAACATAATGATACAAAATGGGAAAAACATCTGATGAGTTACCTGCAGCACTGCCGTTAGTATTTGCTGGGTAGGCCATGTTTGCTCAGTGACACATCCAGAGCTAGGTTGTTAGCTGTCATGCAAATGTCATGCATCAAGTCCAACCAGACATGCAACCTGAAACAAATGAGAAAAGGGCAGTTAAAAACAAACAGTTTTAGAAGGTAAGTACATTAAGCAGCTGGCATTCTTGAGTGCTTAAAGTCTTATCTTCAGTGCAAGCTTCAGCATAGCAGTCACTCACTTAATTAGTCCCGGCTATCACATGCTGACAGCACCCAAGGAGGACCAGCTCAAATAACTTTTTTGGGGGGTCTACCTTCAGCATTTTTTGCTGTTTGTTTCTACACAAAAGGTCCCTCCCGTTTGCTTGCACCCCGTAAGTTCTAGACTGCCCTGTGGTTTATGGGGTTAGAGGGTGCTAGATGAAGAGTGCCTCCACCTGCTCTGCTCCCACATCCATTCCAACACAGCTAGATGATTGTTAGGACTGATGGCCCTTTCTGAACTCATATGTCTCCCAAGAAAGGTAAGGACAGAAGATCCCTGCCAAAGGCACAGCTGTGACCTGATCAACCACTTGGCCAAGAGCCCCTGAAACACTGCACAGGGAGCTGGCATGTACTCCTGCCCAGGGAAGTGCACAGCAAGACCAGCTCTGAGATACCAGTGCTGTTGGAATTTGGATGCTTTGTTTCTAGCCTCTATATGGCAGACCCAACAGGGGCACATAAGCTCTGGCCACAGGCTGCTTTAAGAAGCGGAGCCCATCTGAAGCTCAGGCTGCAGGAGAGGATAACTGTGGCCCTGGTGGGTGGCTGCAGAACAGAAACCAAACAAAAGGCTTTTCTTTCTGTCCACTGCAAAAGTAACTTGCTTACTGCCCTCATCCTCAGAGCAACAGAATTTAACTCAGCCCATACTGTGGAGAAGCCTCCTCCTTGGCTTCTCTTCAAGCTTTCAACAATCCAAACAGCATTGCATTTTGTTGACTCAGAAAGGTGGAGCTTAGGTGTATGGAAAACACCATGCTTCTACGACCCCAGTCAGTCTCATGCTGACAGCTCCAGTCACATTTTTCCAATTATATTTGATCTGGCTCTGACAGTACATGCATGGAAGTATTTAAAAGCTAAGAAGATTAGCCCAGGAAAAAAAAAAAAAAAATCCAGGAAAGAATTAGTGGAAACAATGAGTATTTTGAGTCAAAGATACACTGGCAGACAGAAATTAGTTGCCTCTTACAGGTGATAACACTCCATCACAAAACCTAATATAGCTTGGCTTTCCCCTTCCGGGAACACAGGCACAAATCACTTCATTTTTAGTACAGTCTTGACATTAATTTTCCAAGAATGCAGAAAGACCTCCACTGCAAGTCCTCCTCCCCAACCTCTGCTATATATTCTAAAATTAATGATCTCTTGTTGAAAAAATGGCAGGGACACAAATTTGTCAGAAAGACCACACCAACAAAAGGCTTAGAACAGTATAAAATAAAAACAAAAGAAGGCCTCCAGCATAGCCTATGACGCAAAATGGCCCATCACAAGGTTGCAGACATAATACAGTGAAGTATCTAGCTGGCTGTGCTGCAGCTGGGATCAAAGTTTGAAATCTGTGAGCTTTTAGCAAAATATTAACTACTTCCTTCCAAAGAGAGGAATTCTAAAGCATTATTCCTGTCTCTGCTACTGCAACAAAGAGATAAAGTGATGCTATAAGTTCAAAAATCAGCTTTTAGTGAGGCACAATGAACACCTACAGAAAAACTATCATTTTTTCCTTTCCCTATCTCAGGACAGGCTGTATGTAGCTAGACACCAGACACTGCCAGCAGCACACTGAAGGGTAGATGGGGCTGAACTGATCTCACACACTCTTGATTTGTTCTGCTTCTCTGTGCTACTCAGCAGCACAGTAACAAGCCTCCCTACTATATCCTTCTGCTGTGCAGAATGAGGCCTGCAGCACTGCAAAGCAACCAGCTTTATCAGGCAGCTTATGTCACGCCGATCCACCACTTCCTATGAAACTGGAAGCACGGAATGCTCAAAGGTGATTGCAAGGAAGCCTGACGCAAGGCTTGCATCCACCTAGCCAGAGCCCTGCAAGGTCCCATCTCCAAAATTCTTCATGGTAGCTCCATGTGACCATGGCTTAGTCAGGTTGTCTTGCTCTCCTCACTGCTTCTTAGGGAAACAGCATTCAGCACTACATGCAGAGCTTTTGTTTTGGAGGGAGTTGGCTTTGGTTTTGGGTTGTTTTTTTAAAGGTGCAATTTCAGAGCTGACGACCTGCTTCAAAAACAGCAGTCATCACCACAAGTGTGCACAAGGAGAATTTTCTGACAGTAAGAGGCAAATGCACTTGAGGTCAGAGATACCAAAATTAATAAGACACTGCTGAAAGCCAAAACAGGGCCTCAGGTCTACAATTGTGGCTTAGAGACATAACTGACCTAGTACAAGTTCTCTTCTGTTGGCTGTGCAGATTTAAGTGCCTCTGATAAGTGACAAACTTGCCTTTAGTTAAGACAGTGCTGCTCCTGAGCTTAAACAAGGATAAAGAAAATAATTTAGGATGTAAACTCAGCCCAACAAATACAGAAAAATAATTTTTAAAAAAAGCACTATATGCATATAGGTCTAATCATTTACTACGTGAAGTAACTGGAAGAATTGTTTGTGTGTGTGTTTTGTTGTTTGTGTTGATAAATCTGCATATTAAATAGCTGTCAAGGTATGGAAGAAAAATCCAGCCAAGCTTAGCAGGCCCACAGAGGAAAGGAATTCATGCTGTTTTTGTAGCAACGCAGAGAACTGAATTTCTTGCAAGTACAACACCATTTTTAGAAAGAAACTCACACCAGAAAAGCTGCACTTTGGCAGAAGCCTCTGTATCAGCAAGGCACAGGACAACACTGAAGGTCACTTAAAATACACAGAAGAGAAAAACTTAGCCTGCTCTACCACAGCATGTTCTGCAGTAGAGTCATCTTACGCAAGAAAATTAGAAGTACTTATGTTTTCCCTTCCCATCTCTTCAACTTTCTGCCCATGTGTTTTTACATGCTCACCCCATGGTTGCCTGTGAATTCTATGATTTACAGGCCCCAGGGCAAATGCAAAACAAGCAGAGACTGGCTACACGAAGAGTTCTGCTCAGTGCTACAGTTGTTTCAAGTGTTTCGAATTAGATATTCAGACTCTCTTCTTCCCGCAGGTTCAATAGCAGCAACCTTACACACACACAATCCTTAGTTTCCACACACTATCACGACACCCCAGCTTCTACAGGTTTTTCCAGAAGGGCGATTCCTTAGGCAAAACAAAGTCTATGTCCTAATCACAAGGGATAGGAACCACAGTCCTCCTTTGTATTGCATCTCATCAGGACACCTACACCCATGCTAGTATTTCTGAGCCTGAAATACCTGAGCATACACCAGTCCTGGCATCTACACAGCAGACCTGTTGACACAGAGGCACAGACCGTGTAGAAAGTACAGGCTCCCACCGATGCTGACATGAGATGCTTTTTTAAAAAAAATCATTTTGATTAGATCTGAGAGCAGCTGTAGTATGGCATGGTGGCAACACTTATTAGAAGAGAAAGGTAACTCTGCTCTTAACCAAGAAAAGCAAAAAATAAATTCTTTCTGACCAGGGTCCACAGTCACATATGGGAAATGGTGATGCATAAGCACTTGTTTGTGGGATTCAGCAAGCCAGACCTTGGCGTTCCAGCCAGCAGAGCCTTAGTCTAAGTAGGTACACATATAGCTTTCCTTTCTTCTTATGGCATGCATGAACTGCTAAAATTAAATGGACAAACCAGTCACTGAATAGAAGCTCCAGATCTGCAAATAATCTGAACTGCTATGAGTGAGTACAGCTGGGACATTAAGATGCTGTTACTTAAGATTTGGACCCAGAGCAGTGGGACACAGTGGAGCAGGATCCAAAGGTACTGGCTTCCAGTTCCTCAGGTGGACTCACTCAGACTACAGAGGGTGGGCTCAGGAGAAAAAAACCAATCTATTTAGCAAGCACAAAGAAGTGATTTAGCAGGGAAAGGATTTAACAGAGCAAGCCATCCATGAGATAGAATACTTTAAGAACTGGCACTGCTCTATTTTTGTTGTGGATTAGTACCAAACTTTTTCCTGACGCTGTCCTGTCACATGTGGGTCATCCTGGCAGTGGAAATTGTCCCGTTTCATTCTGCAAGACAGATGACATTTGCAAAAAAAGAACCGAGACACAAGATACAAGATCCATCTAAATATATGGATGGTAATTTCTTTAACTGCAAGAGGAATTGGCACTGGAAAACCCTCTTCCTGCTCAGCCAGAGGGGCAAGCACTTTTCAAAGCTGTGCAGCTCTACAGGAAATGGGAACATCTGCAGCCTAATTCACATTCCCAACCAAATATGCCAGGTGCAGTTTAAATGAAGCAAGGACTAAAGCCAGCAGCAGCAAGAGAAGGAATGTGGGGAGTTGTGGTTGATATCTGCCCTGGGAGAATGACTCCATAGTTCACTGATATGCTCTTCTCAATCCTATTCCTACTGTGTTTGAGTTCTTTTTATCCATATGTTTATCAGTGCAGATGGCAAAAAAGTAGAGAGGCAAGGCTTGTAAGGAAGAAATCATTTTTGTTGTTGTTGCTGTTCGTTATAATTAGATAAAAATGAAGTAAGAACGCAGTTACGTGAGAATTTTTTTTCAGGTCAGGTGTAGAGCAGGTACGTGTAGACTAGGAAAAATTTTAAGTTTCACTTTTATGTAGCAATTAACCAGTGTTCACATTCTTTCCAGAGATAATGTCTTTTTAATGTTATTATCCACATCACAAGCAAAACCATGCAACTTCAGATCCTACTTAAATCTCACTAGCTTAAGAAAATAAATCACTTACACGGGCTGTTTTGCCTAGGCCACCCTAAAATGCAAAGGTATAATTCCCTGAGATCTGTGTTTCCTGTGGACTCTCTAAGGCAACAATCTGTTGTGATTCAGCCTCCTCTAACAACAGAGATTATTCTTACAAAGCTCGATAGGATAGGCAATTGATTTTGGACTATATTTAAGCAGGTAATCAAAAAAGATC